CCATAAAAATCCAGATTTCGACTTAACGATTTTGCAATAAGCTGCCGTATGCAAATTTTTCGATCGAACTTACGGTCTACTTTTAATCATAGATAAGAATGCAACATAGTTATAATTTCCCTAATTGTTATTCACTTTCATCACTATTTTGCTACAATTTTATTTATTTATTTTTCTTTTTTTGCTTTTATTGCTGATAAATTTAAGCGTCAATTATTAAAGATGATTTTTATCAGACGATTAAATAATAACATGAACAAAAAAGTAGATATACAAAAACCTAATAACTTATAAAAAAACTTTTTATTTCTTATTTAGAACAAAATGAGAACCAAATTTTACATTTAATTTTGCACATAACTTTTCGNATCAGTATAATATTCTATAGATTAATAATTGTATTTAAAAAAAATTTTGTAACGAAAAAAAATGTTAAATCTTAGAAAAACAATCTTTTTGTAACAGTCAAAAACTACGAAAGTTTAAGGTTATGGTTTGAGTAAACCGTTAAAGCAGATGTTAAAAAAAATTTAGTAATGAAACTTGTATTGATGGTGATTAGTCGAAGGATGTAACTATTGAAAAATCAACAATGAATAAATCTTCATCAGCAGTTGATTTTGCAGCGTTGTGAGAGCGCTTTAATGAATTAAAATTTAAGAAAGACCTATTAATTGATTTTGATATAAAAATTTGCCATCCTACAAAGATACATAGAGAAGCTCATAGTGTTCTCGGTATACAAACGCTTAAAAACTAAAAAAAAAATCTCAGTGGACTAAAACACTTTATCACTTAATAAATGAAAAATATACAAAACAGAAAATTATCCTTGTAAAAAATAAATCAGACGAGAATACAGTAACCATTTTCATAAAGAATACAACACAATCAGTTTTTAATGCTCAGAAGTATGCTGAATTTTTTAATCCTGTCTTCAAAATTCTTTAAAAATGTCGTAACAGTTTTAAATACTCAAACTAAGACTGTAAAAATTTAAGATATCCTATGCATAAAATAAAGAAAAATTTTTGAGCAGAATATGCTGGATGATGAGAATATGTGGGATGTATTGGGAGCAGTATAATAGAAAATTTGTCAGCTGTCAAGTATACATATTCTCATTGGCCAGTGCTTGAAGCCCAAAGAAAAGGTCAATAACGTCTTTTTTCTTCACTTCGACCAAAATTAGTGAAATTGCTTTGTATTATGGTCGGGATACATGGAAAAATAGTTTTGCCCAATAAATGTGTGGGCATTTTTATTTAATAAACTATTACTGAAAATCGACCGAATTTTTTTTCAGAATTTCACTTACTACTTTTTTCAGGGACGCCGTATTGCAAAATTGGCAAAAATAATTTGCTCGTTAGATGATTATCTATCAACCTGTACTTGTTAAATTACATTTTAACAATTTTTCGCGGAGTTATAGTGTAAAAAAGAACAAAAATTTTCATGAAAAATTTCAATACTGCAGCATCGTTGACTCTTACGTTTGTCAATGAAAACGCTGCAAATTGTGGGATTTGACACCTCTTATGGGAATTTTAAACCGTGCGCAACAATTTTTTGCTAACATCAAAAATGACGTCACAAAACGAAAAGGAGTTTTTAGATGTCTTTTGATATCCTGATTCTCACAGAGCAGCTTCATCAAAATTTTAAAAAGCATTTCATTAGGTATCGCTTTAACTTTGTTACAATGAAGAAAAAAATTTTTTTTCGCATTTTTAATCCCAATTTTTCAGAAATTTCCGTTTTGCAATATAAACAAATTGATGTTACTCCGTTATATTCATTCTTACAATATTGCAACCAAGTGTATTTGATGAAAGGTATTTTTACACGAATTAAAAAAAAAAAAATCATTGCGATAGCATTTTTTTAACAATATTTATTAACAATTTAGTGTTAATCGCAATTGTTCAATTGTTAAAGGTTTTCTTCATTGAAAACAATTTTTTTTTACTTTTTTAGGATATCTCTTATCACTTTGTAAGGGTTACTGATTTTTACACAGATAAACAATGTTAAAAAAAGTAGTATTCTTGAACACTTTTTCGTGCAATATGGTGATTGTATGGTGGGTTGCATGCATTCGGGCTTGAGCAGACAACTGAAAAAACTCATATTCTATGATAATACACATTCGTTATGATTTCATTCTTTTTTGTTTTTGAATAATACTTGTCACATTGTACATAAATAATTGTATCATATCCCGTTAAATACACGTCATAATACAAACTATTTTTAAATTCTTCGTTTTTTTGTTGTCGGAATGTCCTCACTCTCGCTATCTGTAATATCATCGATATCTGCATAAAGAATATCGTTAGAATCATCTTCTAACACGTTGCCACGGACGATGTCAACTGTCTCATGCTCTACTGTTGCTTGAGCTGCTTTCAATACGTCATCCTCTTCGTCGTCATTAACGCATATCTGTTTGTCTGTTAAGTTTGCACAATTTTTTCCTTCACAGTATTTACAGACCATTGAATACTTGATCCCTTTTGTTTTACAGCTGCATCTTTCTCCATAGCCTTTCTTGCATTTACAAGCGATTTTTTGCAAAATCATCTCGGGAATTAGTGGTTGCAGTGTTATAACTGGGAGAAGCCCATTTTCAGTTTTTTTTTCCAGCCCCATTTTTCTACGTCAAGTCCTACCTTCGTACTGAACCACTCGCGTAATTGATAATACACTCTACAGGAGTGCTCTCAAACTGCTCCTTCAGTTGGCGGTAGCATTGCAAATTTAAAATTCTTGTGGCTCGAAATTTTGTGAAATCTTTGAAATTGGAATTCATTTAAAGTACACTCTTCCTCACTAACACCCCCAAACATACCTTAAATTAGTGTCTGTCCTGCCCAGTTGATATAATTCGGAAAAGCATTGTCGTTGTAAAATACTTTACACACAGTTTGCAGAACTTTATTTTGGTCCAATACCCTGATTAATTAACCTTTTTCCTGATTAAAAAAAGTAGATGTACTATCACAGCCACTATTTGCATGGATCAGTCCAATGAATTCTTTTATACGGGGGAACTGAAAGCTATTGCTGCCATACGTTTGCGGTTCCTTACCATCTCGACTCGGCTTTAGAAAAAAAAACATTACACTCACGTAGAGCGATTTCAGTATAAATTACAAGTAAGTCGACATCTTCACCGACTATTACTACATTACTGTAGTTTCTTCTTTCAGCAAACGTAGTATGCACTATCAAAGCGTCAGCATCTTCGGGAGCTTGACGAACACAAAAACCTGAGTTATTCAATTTTTGTATGATTTATGAGACAAATCGTTTTTTATTGCTTTTATGTGACAAAAATTGTGACTGTGCGACGGGTGGCACTTTATTTACATCAAAAATATAATCGGGACATGTGTTCTTCTTTAATCTGCGTGATCTTCTGCTGTTTTTGTGTGTTTTAATCTCGCATCTTCCGGGTAACCATCTAAATTTTTTGCAAGAAAAAGTTTATTCACTGTATTCTAGTTGTAAAATTAGGAAACACAAGTCACAAGAACATTGTCGAATAGTCGACGAAAAATTGGCAAGAAACACGGATGATGCGTATTACGTAATACAACCAACGCTCCCAACGGTCTATTTCAAAATGATACATCGTGAGAGGGAGCAACCGAAATAAAGGTTTTTCTACTATACGGAGTGCAGAGTGAAAAGCAGGGATTCTCAAATTTTCACTGGCGCAGAAACCTATTATTCGCATGCGACGCCTGCGTAAATGCAACCCATCATACCATATTACAATCACCATATTGCACGAGAAAATGTTCAAGTATACTATTTTTTTTTTAACATTGTTTATCTGTGTAAAAATCAGTAACCCTAACAAAGTGATAAGAGATATCCTAAAAAAGTAAAAAAAATTTTTTTCAATCAAGAAAACCTCTAACAGTTATCAAATATTTAACAGTTCATCAAATACAATTGGTTGCAATATTGTAGAAATGAATATAACAAAGTAAAATCGATTTGTTTAAATTGGAAAATTGAGATTTCTGAAAAATTGGGATTAAACATGCAAAAAAAATTTTTTTTTTTCATAGTAACAAAGTTTAAGCGCTTCCTAATGAAATGCTTTTTAAAATTTTGATGAAGCTGCTCTGTTAGAATCAGGAAATCAAAAGACATCTAAAAATTGCTTTTCGTTTTGTGACGTCATTTTTAATGTTAGCAAAAAGTTGTTGCGCATGGTTTAAGATTCCCATAAGAGGTGTCAAATTCCACAATTTGCAGCGTTTCTATTAACAAACGCAAGAGTCAACGATGCTGCAATATTGAAATTTTTCATGACAATTTTTTTCTTTTTTACACTATAACTCCGCGAAAAATTGTTAAAATGTAATTTAACTAGTACAGGTTGATAGATAATCATCTAACGAGCAAATTGTCTTGAGCTATTTTTGCAATACGACGTCCTTAAAAAAAGTTGTAAGTGAAATTCTGAAAAAACATTCGGTCGATTTTCAGTATTTGTTCAATAAATAAAAATGCCCGTACGCTTATTGGGCAAAACCATTTTTCCATCTATCATGACCATAATACGAAGCGATTCTACCAATTTTGGTCGAAGTGGGGAAAAAATACGTTGTTGGATGCTTTAAGCACTGGCCTATTACTGAAGCTCTCCTTGTTACAAGAGATTTTTAAGTGATTCTTACGAATTGCATTTTTAAGTACTACATAATTTCTTTTAAGTCTTAATTAGTTTTTTTCTGTCAATTTGCTATCATATTTATGACATATTAAACAGTTCTTTTGTAAGTTGTATTATTTATGCCTTATTGTCTAATCTATGTTAAAGTAATCTGTATAATGTACTTGTTATACGGTATACAATTTGTGAACGACGTCACAAGTGTATTTTTTTCCGTATCCATTTTTTTTACCTTATAAAATACATGGTGTAATAAATACGACAGTTTTATTTTAACATAAACTTGTTATTCATCATTTTTCAGGTGGTGCTTACGTGCCAGCAATGGCAGATGAAACAGTGATAATTCGTCATCAAGGTACAATTTTCTTAGCTGGGCCACCATTAGTAAAAGCATCAACTGGAGAGGAGGTTACAGCTGAAGATTTAGGAGGTGCAGATCTTCACTGCCGGCAAGCTTATTTTTTATCACTAGTACAATAAGAATTTAAGCTATTTTTCTGAAAACTTGAACACTTAATAACTACTCAACTTACAATGTAGAGACTTCCAAGACCTTGCTTCACAGTTTTTGAGAAAAACATCGCAAAGTATTTTTGACAAACATATTCACAAATAATAAATTTTCAATAGATAGTTCTAGTAATGAATCAAATTTGAATCAAACAAGCTGTATAGTCGACTTCTCTATCAACACGATGCTTTCTCAACAGAAACACAGACATTCTTAATTATAAATTTAAAAAGGAACTTTTCAAGTATTTTTTAACTGATTAGAAAATATTAGTTAGACTTCGTAATTTGAGGAAAAAAAATTTATATTTTTCGATTAACTTATTTAATAATATTTTTGTTGCACATTGAGACTAATGTATTAAAAAATTGCAAGTATAAGATAAAGCTTATGACTATGTACTTTAAAAAACACTGAATTGCGGGTTTTTTTCTTTCTAGAGATTAAGTATCAGTTTTTGTAGAATGAGTGGAAAGAAAGAAGAACTCACCTAAAAGATAAGATTTTTGTACCTTTGTGACTAAGGTGACAACAGCGTTTTTCTATCAGATGGCCCAATTTCATTACTGATGCCACTGGGCCCACTTTTCCCACCTTCTGACCTTAATTCCCATTATAGTCACCCATGGATAAAAGTTATTTAGAGGATGCAAAAAATAATGCATGCAGGGGAAAGAGATTTAGTACCTATTGTAAGACAGATTTCTCAAAATTTTTTTTAAGGAGTAGGAGTACCTTAGCGGAGGCATAGCTTAGCTCGTATTACGGTCACGCTACGATCTTCACCATGAAACAGTAGGTATAGAGAAAGTCTATATGATGTGTATCAATTGAATCACTGTGGGCCGGTGCACCTTTGAGTGCTCGTGAGAGGAAAAGAGAGAGAGTAAGAGAGACAGACAGACAGAAAGATTTTCTGTTCTGCAGTCAGCGCTGACTGATACGTAGATAATATCTATAAATATTTACACGCCAGCATTGACTTGCTCTTTCATTTTATGCGTAGATTATCTTCTTATATAAAGCGTACTCAAAAAAATTTTCCTTTGGAAAATTAATTTAAGTTTCTCATGAGGATGTAGGCAATTATTTTTTGATAAGGCCACAAAAGTTTTGCTGGGGTCAACTTAAATTAAATGCATTAAAATGTGTAACCTTCTTCAAACGTTGACAGTTTGTTCAGCTTTCGATGTACTTTACGTTATTCCTTATTCTCCTATCTTATTAGTGCAACGACGTATTTTGAAGTGAACGAATGCAAGTAAGCCAATGATCCTAAGATTATTACCTTTAAAAAATTTGTGAAAATAACTAATTGCTTTATTTACTTCCCTCCTTGCCTAGTTCTATCATGCCACATAACACCGAGCTATGAAAGCACATATATAAAGAAAATAAACAGTGAATTTTTATACGTGCTCTTTAGATACAACTTGTAAAAAAATATGAATTATCATAAATTATATCAAAAGTAAACAAACAACTGTATAGCAACAAGCTGTGTATCGATAAGAAGTTCAGCTGTACGGATCTGGTGATTTAGAGGTAACATGGTACATTGTTGCAAAGCACAAGTTTATTAATACTTACTACTACAACAGTGTAGTACGTTTTAGGAGTAAAATTGTCATCACATTATCAAATAAAATACGTTATTATTTAACTAACATTTCATCCTCATTTTGTGACGAACAACTGACAATAACTACGAGTGAATATACTACAAAAACGTTAACCTTTTATAATGTAGCAGTCAAAGTGACAAAGAGTTTATATAATCGATAAGCCAGAAAACAACTGACCACTACTTAAACAGAATATTTTTTTTTTAATGGAGACAAAGATAACAATAAATTTAAAACTTTTACCAGTACTTAGCTAAAACCTTACTTCAGTTGTACTTGGGTTAAAAAAAATCAGTAGACAGTGGGTGCTGGGATACCCACGTAAGAAGTTAAATTTCCATAAAATAATTTGGCAAATAATATATTTATCTTACTAATATATAAAGCAAAGTCGCTAAAACCGTTGTAATCGCTAACCGCGAGAACTACTAAACCAATTTTGCTGAAATTTTGCACACTGATTCATGATACTTCCTAGATGGTTTTAGTATAGTTTTTATCTTAAAAAATTAAAAAACAATAGCAATAAATGAGCTCAAAGTTTTGCAAAAATACGGCAGCTTTTCACTTTAGTTCAGTAAAATCCGCTAGGTGGCGTCGACATGCAATCAAGGCTACCTGCAACAGAAATAAATAAGTGGGGTTATAATACGCTGGAGCGTCTCAATAGTGATGCAGTCGTGCCTCGGCAGTTCAACGAGCTGCATAGAGAATGCTGATGATAGTCTCGCAGCTGGATATCCCGGTTACGGACGACACTTTTCTGTAAGGGGAAAGGGACCTAGGTTTCTATTCACCCTGAATCTCGACGAGTGCGATCAAAAAATAATTCATTTCAACCTATGACGTCTCTGGCACAATACCAGGAGACATATCTAGCCAGAGCACAATCTGCACCAACTCTTCTGAGTTGTGTGGCAGTCCCACCATCCCGCCAGGTGCTGTTAGAGAATTTTTGGCTACAAATGTAAGCTAGGGAAAACAGCTCAGAGGGGCACGGGCAGCCACAAAGGCTACCTTCTTGGTTGTCGCGTCCCTAACTTGCTTACCCACATGTTCCCGTCTAACGATGAGCAGTTGGGTGTCCAGGAAACAACCCAAAGACGAGATATTCATTGGTCAGTGGCGTACCTCCCTCCATCGAAGTCTCCATATATCGAGACTCCCAGGGTAAAAATCAAACTACCTGTAGCCAGCTCTTCATCATTAGAAATAATAACAAAGAATAGCCCTGGAAGTTTCACCACTGGCGTTTTTTAGGGCTATTAAAAGTATTTACATTCCCTACTTAACCATCAATTTCATCGGTTCTTTTTAGGGGCCACCTAAGTGTAAACTACCTTGCCAACAAATACATTTTTACTATTATTTCCGAAAGCGATTAGTCGACTAAAAGACTATATTAACTAAAGATGGGCACTATTAAACCAAGTCAGCCATTCACTATCAGACGTCACCTGCGGAGTTGTTCTTCACAAGGCTGGAAAACCCGGTGACCGACGACCCTATATTACCCTCTCGACTCTAAGCATTCAACCAAGAATCACTGATCCTCTCCAAGGTCTGCGCTGGGCAAACCTATAATAGCTATAAAGGAAAAAAAAGCTTGAGCCAAGGGGACAGCCTCCACTGGACAAGTATCACTCACCAATCTCCCCATCTTAGATCACCAAAACAACTGAATCTGCAAATGAAAAGGTGCCTTAGACACCAACGTCTTCGACATTATACCAGGAGGCCTTGGGAAAATAGCACAACAACCAGCCCCAAAGCTTCGGACTTTGTAATTTTTCTCCCGATCAGTCTGGGTTTTCAACAGCAGGCGAGAAAAGATCACCCTGAGGTATCCAGGCAGTCACAATTTTTGTTAACTGCAGTCAAGAAAGAGTTAACTTAAGAGGCTCACTGGTCTTTTTTAGGGCCATCGGACGTCGAACTACCTTGCCAACAAATATGTTAGAACTTAACAAAGTTGACAGAAAACAGCTGTTAAGGGTCACAAAAATTTTAAGCATGCCAAAAGTCGCAAGAGGGTAAGTTGGAAGAAAAACTTCAAATGTATCTAATAAATATAATTTTACTTAGGCGTCAAGAAACTGTCACAGAAAATTTATCGAGATTGAAACAGCAGCGTCAAAATCGACAAATAAAGAATTCATTACGTGAGAGATCAGCTTTTCATTGTACCCTCACAGCAATCTGTGAAATCTTTAAAGATCCTACTTCAGATTTTTAAATAAGTAGAAAATGTATTAGTGCTTTTGTAGCAATAAAAATATAGGGTTTAGGATCCAGGATTTTGTTGCTCTGGTAATAAAGTTGTGAGATATGAGAAAAAAAAATTTTTTTTAATATTAATTTTTTGGGGGTTTAAAATCTTAACAGCTTTAAAAAACAGCCCTTTTCGTAAATTACACGGGAGAAACTGTAAATCAACGGCTTTTTATGGCCACCGATTATTTTATGGTATAAAGAACGCACGGTACTTTTCAGCATAATTATTTTTTTGAATTTTTACACCATATTATTTGACCAAATAAACTATATGGCTTCCGAAAAAGTATGTTTTTAAAAAGAAGATTTTCGTTTTAAGATGTGTAAGGAATATGTGTAAAATTCCTAACTGAAAACGTTCCATATTACATGTCAACATACAACGGTGTTGTATTTAGCAAGTCTCGGGCGAAGCCGAGACGGGGGGCTGCTAGTTTATTTATAAGCATACCTCGTATGAAACGATGTTATAAACGAAGGTGGTGCAATTATCGTTGGAATAAGTACACCTACGTAAAGTAGGTGTAGTTTTAATAAATATTTTAAGATCTACAAACAGAACAATTATAAACATTAGTTTTGGGCACAATACAATTTAAACAATATGGCTGCTGGCCAGTACAAGACTGTGCTCTTTATCGAATCTTTCGATGGTTTTAAAAAAACTTTTTAGGAAAATAATAAATACTCTTATAAAGTAGCAGATCGTTTAACTGTAGGTTTTTTCACATGTTTAATTTAAAGAATATTAAATTTAAATTAACAATCAACCTTACGGAAAAACCATCTTAAATTAGATTTACAAGATCTGTATAAAGCTGTATTTTTTGTATTCATGTGGAAGATTACTATTTAATAAACCTTTTTTATTTTGAAATAGATCGATAATTATTTTTTTATTTTTTTTTTATTTTTACTGAAACAAAAAAAAGGGGCCAAGTATGCATAAAAGCTTGTATATGAGTTTATACTTATTAGAAAAATAATCTCCAGCGTTGCAGCATATATTTGCGACTTTCCTACCTCTCTGAATTTTGTT